AATTTCAAGCATCACATCGGAAGTAATCATGTTCCAATTCTTTTCTTCAGCATAGTTTCCTTAAAAACATGTGCTGCGGGAAAGTAATCAGTTACCTTAATTCAATGGTGCATATTTATAACCTTCTATTTTTTTAAAGCATTATACCTAATTCAGACTGAACTGAAATTTTAATACATTGGATTGGGTAGGATTTTATCTCACATTAACTATACTTCTGCCTATGAAAATAAACATGCACAGTTTGTAGGATTTACCAGTTTTTAAATGAAGATTTAAATCCCATATAAACAAGCCATCACAAGTTTCTAGATGTTATTATAATATAACCACATTTATTAAGGTGAGCCTTTTTAGTGAACAAAGGATGTCGTTAACATAACACTGACTGCAAGCTGCCTACGATGACATTATACTAATAGCATTCTGCAATTTGCAAGACTCTACTTGTTATGACTAATAAAAATGAATCATTGTGTTTTGAATGAAACTGGTATTAACATCAATTTTCCTACAGACTTGCAGTTATTGTTGCAAAATAGCTTAAATATGGAGTTTTTATCACTTAAAGTCAGCATGAAATAATTTAAACTGCTGCATGTCTGTGACACGAGAACAACACTTTAATTCTGCACTAATGCTTCAAGCAACCAGAGTTGTAGCTAGGAATTATCCAGATGAATTATCTAAATGAATCATCTAGATGAGTCAAATAAATGACAAGCAAATTATCTTTGAAAATAATGGCCTGGATGTGATCCCTGCAAATACTTAATATATAGCAAAAGGCAATTGCAATATTCTCAATAGTGTTTATAATCAAAAATATTTGGAGGAATACATAACAATACATACCAGGAATACATAGGAATCGCAATCAGAGACCATTTTATGTCCTAGTGGGTGTATATTCAAGAAAATATAATTTCTCAATTAATTACTCCTGTAAATCAAATATGAGTTTGATGAATGTTACAAGATATCAAAAATGAGATGTCCAACCACAACAATTTTGCTTTGTCTACGTCTAACCTATCTGTATCAATACCAGAATCAGTTATTCTCCACTGTAGGTTTTGTTCCATTTTTCAGTGATCATACATTTATGCTATGCCAACCTTGTAAAGCGAAACTGTAAAACCTAACCTGTAAAGCGGTTCAAAACAGCTGTTTTTAAACGGTCAATAGCATTGATTCCGAACAGATTTTGCTTCAGCAAATGCAAGTGGGCAGGACCACCATGCGATAAATAGCTGTCACATCTGTGTAAGATATTAAATTTATTCTATATATGTGAGATTACATCTTGACCAGAACTACTTTCTCTCAAGCCATTGGAAACTAAAAAAAATCAGAACAGCTGTATGCTGGCACTCAGCAGCAAGCAAACACCAGCTGTAACCATGGTAACTGACAACTAATAACCACCTCTGAGGGTTCTGCAAGGTCCACATCACAAAGCATCCGTATGCTTTCGAGCTAACAAAATGCCCAACGCACCTTGTTGGCTCGTATCTCTCATAGCAAACATTTTGCTGCTTGACACTGAAGAGCGAAAATATATCACTTTCTGCTGGAAAATGCATTTTCACGCATTTTTCTGAGGAATAAAAGGGTAAGTGTATAAAGAAAAATTCAAAGAAAATTCCAGAATATAATACCATTTTCAAAACGTGTTGGAACACAATATGTGCTTTATTATTACTCAAACTTATGTTGTCTTCTTTACCAGATTTTAGTAAACAACATATTTGTACAGTAGCTTCCTTTTTAATACAACATCAAGTTTTGCTGTTTCGTTGAAACAAGCTTTTATATAAGCAAAATATTAACCAATTTGACAAGCATCTGGCATTCATGAACATGCAAAACTTGTCAGCCACTTCTTCATGTATACAGAAGTCATGCACAAAAAGATCCTGTGTTGGTTAAGCCACTGATTTGCATATTTGAACTTTCGATTCATTCTCAACAATCACAAATATATATATTAGAAACTATACAGAATATAGCTACCATAAGAACATAAGAAATGCTAGACGAAAAAAGACCAAGGTCCATCTAGTTTGCCTTCCACTTTACTGGCGGTCGCATATACATATGTCCCAAACTACCTATGTATTGTATCCCATAATGTTATTTTCTAAAAGAAAACTATCTCATTTGTGTTTGAAAGAATCAGCAATTCCTGCTTCAATCATCTCCCTAGGGAGCCTGTTCCACAGGTTCACTATTCGCTCACTGAAATAGTGTTTGCGTAGATTCGTTCTGAGTTTACCCCCCTTCAATCGCAGGCCATGCCCTCTGGTTTTACCATTCAGGACAAGTTGAAACAGCCTGTCATGACCTTTATTGTTTAGCTCCTTTAGAATCTTAAAGACAGCAATCATGTTGCCTCTCAAACTTCTCTTTTCCAGCGTGAACATGCCCAGTTTACTTAGTCGCTCCTCATAGTCCAATCCTTCCACTACCTCAATCATTTTGGTTGCCCTCCTCTGTATCTTCTCGATTTCTCCAATATCCTTTTTGTACTGTGGCGGCCAGAAGTGTGAACAGTACTCTAAGTATGGGCTCACCAATGATTCATACACTGGCTCTAGATGCTACAAGATCTTGCCATTGATGTACATTGATGTATCTCATCCTTGAGATATTTCTTCACATAGTTCCACCATCTCAATGTTGGATGTACATTTACTCTTTTCACTGTTGGAATCATCATCATTTCCTGTGGGACTCCCCAATCAATGGAAATAGCCTATTTATGTCAACCTTACTGAACCCTTTTATAATGTTAAACATTTCTATTAGGTGCCCCCCTTAAATGTCTCTTCTCTAGGACAAAAAGGCCTAACCTATCAGGTCTATCCTGATAGTAATCTGCCAACCCTGTTTCATCCTCATACACTTATGCAGTCCTATTTCCATCGCTGTTATACGTGTCTTATTGTGACCTCAATATTGGTCCCTTCATTCTACTAACTGATTAAAATTCTCCTTGCACTGCTAATTTCAAAAGCATAACGTTTTTACTTCTTACTTCTCAGAGTTAAGCTCTCAGCACCATAGATGTATTGACTAGGCACATGTCTTGTAAAGTCTTATTTTCTAAATCCCACATTTCATGTTTCATTTTCCAAAATGTTTTCCCCAATCTGTCAATAAGGTACTCAGACCTGATCGGGTTTTTTTTTCATTCTTTAAAGGTGCATCATTTACACATTACAATAACACAAGACCATCCCTACATGCGTTACATTAATTCACATACCCTAGGATGCACTGAATAATTCACTGAATCTTTGCTCCAATATGTCTCATCCTTTACATTGGCTAGATGTATTTACTGAACTAAAATTTCTTGAAGTATGTTGTCAACCACATTTCTTCAGAACGTGAACAAAACTTGGCTCAACCCCAACATTGTGCAGATGATTAATTTTGAAAAAGAAAGTGAACATTGGTTGACACCTGTCAATGAAAAAATGGCCTGGGCTATGAACCCTGCAGCCTGGTCTACAAATGCTCACTGTCCAGTTTCACTCATGAAGAACAGCCACCTGGATGAGATAGTCTGGGTCTGCTAGTGCTTGCTATTATTTTCCAAAATACATCACTGTCTTCCAAAAGGAATACAGAAACTTGGGATACCCATGTGCATTCATCATGCAATTTGGTGACAAAGAAAGTGTCAAATTCCTGATGATAACTCACTTCATTTGAACCATGGATATGTAATAATAAACAATTGATACCCAAGAAGGTACCATGGTTCAAATCTTGCAACCATTGCATTACCATCATTAATCCATGATAACGTATGTCACTACATTGTAGTGACATTGAACACACTGGAACCTGTCTGAAGCAACATCTACAGTAATCAAAATTTATTTAAAAAGGGATCAAATCTGCCCTATGGGATACATTATAAAATGATGGATAACTTGGAATAAATTCAAGGTTATAATTGTGGGGGTTAAGATGGTAACCATCGTGTTGTCTTGACTCCTTGTAAGAACTCCCGGGGCATCAATTACTTGCTACGTAATGTATAGTACGATAACGTAAACCGCAGTGGATGGTTCACAATAGAAAATGTGAGATTTAATTATAACTTTGGTGCTGTTTTTTTTTCAAAAAAAAGTTAAGCCGTCTTACATTCGTGTGAACTGCTTTGGCTGAGCAATCTCACCGTTTGTCACCGACTCCCTTTCCCCGTCTAAACCCAAACTATACTCTCCTCTGATCCACAGCGGCTGGAGAACGAGACGCCCAACACGGCTTCCCCAAAGCAGGTGAAGCGCTTGAACGCCCCCAATGCAGTTAGGGTTGAAAACCCTAATGGGTTTATCCGCCGCCCCCCCACCCCCTATGAGCAATGCAAAGAAGAGATCGCCACGACATGGCAGGACAAGGCTTTGCAACGAATCGATGGGAAGCGACGGGCGCCAATAAGCGAACGAAACTGTACCCCCCACCACCCACCACCCCCACCCTGTGTGGCAGAGGCAGAGCGAAGACATCTTTCTATTGAGCGGTTGCTATGGTTTGCTCGGGCCAGGCCAGGGCCAGGGCCAGGCCAGGGCTGAGCTGAGCTACAGCACGAGTACCCGATTGGCTGCCTCGTGACCGTCTGGAAAACAAGTAGAAATCTACTGCCGCTGCTACACGTCCTCAGCCATGACAGAGCCCCCCCCCCCCCCACACACACACACTGCCAACCTCCATCACATCACATCACAGCCCTCACTCACTCACTCACTCACGTTTGCATCCACGTCTCTTTGCAAAAGGAACAAAAAAGTATCAAAAAAGGGGCTCCCGGGTTTTTAAGCTAAAAACTAGTCACTCTCTCTCTCTCTGTCTGTCTGTCTCTCTCTCCTCTTCTCCTCCTCCTCCTCCTCTCGCCGACAGTGCGCGGAGAAACAAAGCTGCCACTTGTCTCCGCAGCCCCTGAACTCGCACCGCCACCGGGGACCCGTTACAAAAGTACTCACTTCGCGCTGTTCGGATGGCGTAGCGGCAAAACTCGCGGAATGCAAACGCAACTGCTTTTCTTCTTCTTCTTCTTCTTCCTCCTCCTTCTCCTCCTTCAATCATGACAACCAGCAAAACACGAGTCAATCACGGTCCCCCCCGCATGCACACCCCCCCCCGCACCCCAACGCGCCATTTTAACTCATTTTTTTTCTGTCTCTTCTCTCTTTTGTGTGCGGTTACGGGGAAAAGGTTTTTTTTCTCTCTCTCTCTCTGTGTGTGTGTGTGTCCGGGTTTCTCTCGCACACACACACACATATATAGAAAGAAAGAGAGAGGGAGAGAGGGAGAGAGAGAGGCGGTGGTGGTGGAGGAGGAGGAGGTGGTGGTGCGGCGCAGGATGTGCAGCTGGAAACGTGTCGTCATTCCATCTCTCGGCATCAAAAGAGTTCGTTCGCTGAGAGCGAAACGGGGGAACAAAAAAGCCATATGTCAAAGCGGCTTTGCCATCTCCGTTGGGTTTATTTTTTTTTTGCACCGACGCCATAGATTGGGGAGGATGGGGAGGGGGGGGGGAGAAAGGGGAGAGGGGGGGTGTTGTTGTTGTTGTGTTTTTTAAAAAAAAATAAAGTAGGAATTCGAGTTATTTCTGATTTGCCCAAAGGGACCCGCTTTGCACTACTTGATATGCGCGCAGGGATACAGCCTCCGCGTGTTTCCAATAGCTCAAGCGATCGCTGTGTTATTTCCAACCCTCCCCCCCCCCCCCACACCTTCAACCCCCCCCCGAAAAAAACCCACCCCCAAAAAACACTCCAAAAAAAATCCCACCCCAAAAAAAACCCCCCAAAAAAACCTCTCCCCCCAAAAAAAAAACCTCTCCCGCCAAAAAAAACACCCCCAAAAAAACACCGCCCCCCCCACCCCCCACCCCTCTGGTCCTGGTCCGAAAGTTTTGAGCACAGTGTGTGTGTGTGTGTGTGTGTGTTGTGTGAGTGTCGGCAATGAACGCGCACCGCGAGCGAATGGTTCAACGATGCGCTTTCTCAACAAACAAAAGAGTCGCCTTCGTTCGCTCCTTTTCCCACCGACTGAACCCCCGTCTCACTTGGAAGCGGCCGCGAACCTCCTGCAAACGTTTTTGGCCGTTTCAGTCCAGAATCGTGGAAGTCCTCGTGTTTTTTTTCCCCCCCGTTTGCGTGATTGGGGATTTTTTTTTTTTGCGCGCGCGGGGGGTGGGGCGGGTTCCGGGAATGTGTAGATTTCTACAACCGACGCGAGATGCAGTTTAAGTCGCAGTATAATGCCTAACTTTGTTTTAATTATATATATATATCTATATCTATATATATATATATAAGGGGGAAAAAAAACCCTACAATAGCAGGAAGCGACGGTGTTTTGCAAAGCTTTGGTGGTTTGATTTGGAAGAGGATACGCACAGATCAAATGTTATTTTAAGATGACGTGAGCGGGAACTAATCATAGCTCCGTCTCAAACGCCGCTATATGTGGATCGGTGCCTCGGCGGCGCTCATCTGACTTTAATGTCACGATTTCCAGAATGCGGCGTTCATGTGGAGAACTGAGTCAATTTACATTCACAGGGTTTAACAGGGTCAACAACTTGGGGTTGGGGGGTGGGGGGGGGGGTCAAAAAAAAAAGAGAGAAAATGCCCTGGGAAAAAAATAAACTGCACTGTAGGCTTGAGATTGGGTCACATCAGTTCTCTCTCTTTCCTTTCACGGTGACAGCAAATTAATAGGTTTAAGATCTAAGCTTTATTTCATTTAAGGATGTAGTCATTTCAGAGCTGACGAGTGCAAACTCATTAAGAAATGCCACGTAATGCTAAGGTGAGTTAGAGGCGAAGGTCATCCCCCCAAAAAATCAACAGATCACACTTTTGGTTTTCATCAAATCCTATTCGATAGGTGGTCTGAGTTTTGATTCCAAGTATCAATGAAGCATCGCCTTGGTGTTTCGCTGAGCTATCAATGACATGGAAAATAATATGAGTTAAAGGGAAAAAAAAACAAGGGAAGTGTGATCAAACGAAAGTAATATTGGAACAATTTTTTTCCCCCCCATGAGTTATCAACTACATGTTCAGTATAAATTGAAAGAACAGAGTTAAGTGTAATATTACCAAACACAGTGTTAGATGCTCAAGGTTGTTCTTAAAATTGAACTCGTGGAACGTACATTACCGAATTTCATTAGGGGATGTCTCAGTTTGATTCATTCAGTAGCTTCTGAGTCAGACTTTATATTGAAACTTGACTCTCATAAGATTATTAAACCGATCCTCCCAGTGCAAATGCTGGGGGGGGTGTTACATTGTCAGAGGTGTTATCTTTCAGGTGGATGTCACAAGATCCATGGCACTTGAAGACGAGAAGGGAATTTCTCCCCTGGTCTCGATCCTCCGGATTAATTAATTCTGTGGGATTTGGCTGTGGGCAAAATGGTTATAGTGTTCGCCTTTAAACAGTTTATGACACTTCGTGATAATTGCTGTACAACATGTCCAGGTGGTTCCACCCAGGAACGTGATGTAAAAATCCAAACAATTTCTTTAGCAGTTTAGCTGACAGGCAGTTTTGACTTGGAAAGGGTTCAAATATATATATATATATACTATTGGACACTTGATCACTGCCAATATGTCAATCTAATTGAATATGAGGTGTTGCCCCGCGATGAGCCAATGTCGCTTTGATCCAGTTATCTGAACCCCATCAATCGGGATCTACGCCTCTTTGTACCCCACACCACCCTTCACCTCATGCTCAGTCATCACAAACTTCTGGACCGCGGTTCTAGACTTACAATGTTAAAAGTAAAGTGAGAACCGCTACTTGATTTTATTTTTTTTGAAAAAAATTCATTCCCAGTCATAATCCGCATTGCTCTCCTTTGCTGAAGATGTTGACATCGCCGCCCTGCGGAATGCGCAGCTTTAACCAGAGGTGTTGCTGCCGGTCAGGGAGGTGACCGGTGCCCATTTCAGTCGCTTAATTCCACAACCTACTTAGTTGAGTAACACAGTATTATTTGCAACTATACCATTTTGCAATGGAGCAGGAAATATCAGCATTTACTTCAGTTGGTGCAACGAGGAGGGACACCTCAGTGTATGGACAGTTCATAGCATTCTCCTCGTTACAGTGTTCCTATAGACTCGGATTCCTACAGACATTGGATTCCAGGAAACTGCCGTCTACTTTCCATCCTTCCTGCGAACTCAACTGGGATTCCGACATCCTCAGATTATGTGTGTGATCTTATCAACCGCACATAGTACTTACTGTCACTCGGTCATGGACACGTTGCGGTAGTTGCTTTATTTTTAATAGGTGATCCAACAATCCAATATAAGACTATTACATGGTAAAGATGCAGGAAATCTAAAATAATAAAAAAACTGCTCCTACAGTAATTGGCACTGGGTATCGTAGTTAAAGGGGACTTTAAGTTGGGGCACTTACCACCACCAGTGCTTTAAACTTTGAAATATACCCCTTTACTAACTCTTGAGTTTGACTTTTTTTTAAATTGATTTCATGGCATTTAGACAGTCTGATTGTAAATATTGATTTATTTCAGTATTTGATTTTTAAAAAAAGCTTGTATTATGAACTTAGATACATTAGAGTTGAAGCATTGAAGTAGATTGTTGTGCATTTTGCTTGTGAGTCTAATTTTACCTTCAAATGAAGTGTTATCGCGGTAGAATATTATTTTGTAATTGCACATCATATATATGATGGTAACTCTCAAGAACTTGACCCTCAGGTGTTATCAAATCAGAGAACACCTGAAGGGCAAGGGTTGGATTGATGCACATGTCGCTTCCTGCTGGAAATGAACTTTGCATATCAAGGCATTTTTAGTGGATTGAGACGTTATTTATGCTGCTATATAAATGCAAATTATTATCATCACTCTAATGTCATGTTATTAAATGTATCAATCTTCCATGGTTCAGATACTGAAGTTGATTTCAGAGGTCCAAAACATTTTTAAAAAAAGACCAGTTCAGAACTTACAACATCATTATACTCATAGGTTGGCTTCCTTCTATCTTTTACCAAACAGTTATGTCAGATTCTCAAAACTGTTTTATGCTAACACTAATCACTAATATGCATCAAGAATGTTACATTTGACTTTTAATTATATACAGCTGTAAAGTTTCACACATTTCCTTGACCTGAAGATCATTGCCTATTTTCCGCTGATGCTTCTTGTATTGTATTTTTGTATTGTAACCACTTTCTTTTTAATCATTGTTGTCTATTTTCTGTCTATTTCTATTTGTCATTGTATTTCCACTACTTGTTTCTGTTTGCATGTATTTTCTTTCTATTATTTACATTGTTGGTTCATTGATTTTTTCTCACTGTTGAATACAAAGGACTCAGCTCATGTGAATTTGCACATTACATATATTCTGAGAAAATCACCTTTCAACTGAAGTTGAAAGAAAACTATTTGACATACAAAATATTACATGTATAAGTTCTAGATATTCTAATTCAATTTGTTAAATATACAATGTGTTATATTTATGAAGTTAATTTTGTGAAGTTCAAAATACTAACAAAAGTTACTTGAAGCATTTCCTGAGTAGACTGTAACATATGTTACAATTCACAGGATGGAGTCTACATTTTAGGATAGTTTAATAAATATGTTTGGTAGAAATATGATTATAGAAGCCTATAAGTTATTTTTATTATATTAAAATATTGCAATGATTACTAAATGATCCAAAGGAAAAGTATCACAAATTATACAATATATTATGGATGAATATATTTATGTATTTGGATATATGCTGTATATAGGCTGTATATACTGTAATGTGGATTTCTAAAATATGAATATTGTTATTCTGAAGAATGCAAAGCCATCTCCTTGTCTAAACTATTATTTACTATGTATTTTATGAATCAGTTCAATACAAGCAGAGCTATCAAATCCATTAACTTGTTTAGTTATATGTAGCTTTGATTTGCTTTTTGTGCAATTCACTTGACAGATTGTGTAGAAAATGGATCATATTATAAATAACTTATAAACTTTCCTCCAATGAGAATATTCACAATAAAATTACTTGGTTTTGTCAGTAATTACATTCTGTACTTTAAG